TGAGCCGAAGGCAGATGCTTAACTGGCTGAGCCACCCAGGTGCCCCTAAACTGACCTATTAGTTCTAAGAGGTTGTTTTGGTAGATTCTCTGGGATTTTCTGTATGGACAGTAATGTTGTCTAAGAATAAAAAGTTTTATCCTTTCTTATCTATATGCCTTTTATATCCTTTTCCTGCCATACTGTGCTATAACTTTCGGTATAATATTGAACAGGAGTGGTAAGAGTAGATATCCTTGCTTTGTTCCTGGGCTAGGGGCAAAGCAGTCAGTTTTTCTTCATTTAATATGATGTTAGCTGTAGGGTTTTTGTAGATACCTGTTATCAGCTTGAAGAAGTTCACTTTTACTCCTAGTTTGCTGAGAGTTTTATCCATAAATAGGTCTATTATTTTGTTGAAGCTTTCTGCATTTATTTATATTCTCTTGTTTCCTTTGCTCTGCAGAAGATTGACTTGATGTAGTCTCACTTGGTTTGTTTTTGCTTCTGTGGCCTGTATTTTTGGGTTATATCTAAGAAACCATCACCAAAGCCAATGTTAAAAAGATTTGCTCTGTTTTTTTTTTTTTTTTTCCTAAGAGTTTTACCATTTTAGGTCTTATGTTAAAGTCTTCAATCCATTTTGAGTTGATTTTTGTGTATGGTTGTAAAGGAAGGATCCAATGAAATTTTTTTGTATATGGATATCCATTTTCCCCCAATACCACTTGTGAAAGACACTATCATTTCTCCACTGTGGAAGAGACTACCATTTCTCTATTTTTGTTGGCATCCTTGTCAAATATTTGTTGATTTTTCCCTGAGATGCAAGGTTGGTTCAACATACACAAAGCAATAAACAAGATACACCACATTAACAGAAATAAAGATAAAAATCATCTCAATGTAGACACATGCGCATAAAGTATTTGATAAAATTCAACGTTTTTTCATGATAAAAAAACTCATAAACTAGGTATATAAAGAGTGTATCTCAACATAATACAGACTATATATGACAAGCCCGCAGCTAACAATATACTCAATGATGATCAGGAACAAGACAAGGATACCATTCTCACCACTTCTGTTCAACATAGTACTAGAGTCCTAGCCAAAAGAATTAGGCAAGAAAAAGAAATAAAAGAAGTCCAAATCAGAAAGGAAGATTAATGTTATCTGTATTTGCAGATAACATGATCCTATAGGTAGAAAGCCTTAAACTCCATAAAAATTCTTAGAATTCATAAACAAAGTTAAGTCTTTGTGTGCCCTTAAAGCTAAATGGAATTTCTAATAAGCAACATATTGTTGGATCCTGTTTTTAAAAAATTTTTTACAAATTTAAATTCCTGTTTTTAAAATCCATTTAATGATTCATTTAATTGGAGAATTTAACTCAATTACTTTTTAAAAAATATTCATTCACTTTTAAAATAATTATAGATAGGTAAGGACTTATACCTACCATTTTGTTAACTGTTTTCTGATTGTTTTGTCATTGCTTTGCTCCTTTCTTCCTCTCTTGCTTCTTCCTTTGTGATTTGTTGATTTTTTTATAGTGCTTTGATTCTTTTCTATCTATTGTGTGTCAACTAGAGGACTTTTTCTTTGTGATTATTATGAAGCATATATAAAATATATGTCTATTTTACATTGGTAACAACTTAACTTCAATCACATACTAAAACCACACTTTTACATTGCTCCTCCCACATTTTATGCTATTATGCCATACTTTACATGTCTATATTGTGTATCCATCAACAAATTGTTGTTCCAATTATTTTAATAATTTTATCATGTAACTTTATACTAGAGTTAAAAGTGATTTGTGCACCATCATTACAGTATTAGAATATTCTGAATTTGACTATATATTTACCTGACCAATAAGCTCAATACTTTCACTGTTTTCATTTTGTCACTTAGTACTCTTTTGTTTCAATTTGTAGGAGTATCAATAGCATTTCTTGTAAGTTAGGTCTTGTGTTAAAGAAGTCCTGTGGGGGATGCCTGGGTTGCTCAGTGGTTAAGCATCTGTCTTTGGCTCAGGGCATGATCCTGGGTCCTAGGATCAAGTCTCACATTGAGTCCCACATCAGGCTCCCCCCAAGGAGCCTGCTTCTCCCTCTGCCCTCTGTCTTAAAAAAAAAAAACTGTCTTTCAGACATGAGGAAGAGTTAAAGACATTCTCAAACAAACATGAGGGACTTTTTTTTTTTTTTAGATTTTATTTATTTATTCATGAGATACACAGAAAGAGAGGCAGAGACAGAGGCAGAGGGAGAAGCAGGCTCCCTGCAGGGAGCCCAATGTGGGACTCCGTCCCAGGACCCCAGGATCATGCCCTGAGCTGAAGGCAGATGCCAACCACTGAGCCACCCAGGTGCCCCCAAAAGACAGTTTTGCTAGGCATAGTATTCTTGTTTGGCATTTTTTTCTTTTGGCATTTTGAGTATATTATCTCTCTGCAAAGGCTAAGCTATTCACTGATAACCTTCTGGGGATCCCTTTGTATGTGACAAAATACTTTTCCCTCGCTGCATGCAAAGTTCTCTTGTTTTTGAATTTTGAGAATTTGGCTTATGATATTGCTCAGGGTAATCTTCTTTGGTTGATTTTGCTAGGAGTCCTTTTAGTTTCATGAATCTGGGTGTCCACATCCCTCCAAAGATTTGGGGAATTTTCAGCCATAATTATTTAATTATTATTTAGATAAGAGAGCCCTTATCTCTCTTCTCCTTTTTGGATTCCCTTAATGCATATATTTCTTTGTTTGTTGATATCCAATATGTCTCATTGGCTTTCCTCATTCTTTTTCTTTTTATTCCTTTAACTGGTTAATTTCAAACGACCTGTCTTCAAAGCCATTTTTATCTTGATGAAGACTTAATAGTTCATTTTTGCTTCTGTTTACCTTGCCTTTAGCAATGTGTCTAGGAAGAAGTTACTATGGCCAAGATCAAAGAAGTTTCTGCCTGTGTTCTCCTCTAGGATTTTGATGATTTCCTGTCTCACATTTAGGTCTTTCATCCATCTTAAATTTATTTTTGTACATGGTGTAAGAAAGTAATACAGTTTCATCCTTTGGCATGTTGCTGTCCAGTTTTCCCAACACCGTTTGTTGAAGAGACTGTTTTTTTCCACTGGGTTTTCTTTTCTGCTTTGTGAAAGATATAGCTGTGGGTCTATTTCTGGATTTTCTATTCTATCCCTTGATATATGTGTCTGTTTTTGGCCAGTACCATACTGTCTTGATGACTATAGCTTTGTAATATAGCTTGAAATATAGAATGGTGATGTCTCCAATTTTGCTTTTCTTTTTCAGGATTGCTTTGGCTATTCAATGTCTTTTGTGGTTCCATACAAATTTTAGGATTGTTTGTTCTAGCTCTGTGAAAAATGCTGATGTTTTGTTAGAGATTACATTAAATGTGTAGATTGTTAAAATAGACATTTTAACAATGTTTGTTCTTCCAATCCATGAGCATGAAATGCTTTTTCGTTTCTTCGTGTCCTTTTCAATTTTTTTCATAAGTGTTCTATAGTTTTCAGAGTTACAAATTCTTTTATCTCTTAGGTTTATTCCTAGGTATCTTAGTGTTTTTGTGCAATTGCAAATGGAGATTCCTTGGTTTCTTTTTCTGCTGCTTCTTTATCAGTGTATAGAAATGCCACAGATTTCTGTACATTGGTTTTTTTGTCCTACAACTTTGCTTCTAGCTAGAACTAAGTTCTAGCGATTTTTTGGTGGATTGTTTTGAGTTTTCTACATAGAGTATCATGTCATCTGCAAATAGTGAAAGTTAGACTTCTTCCTTGCTTATTTGGATACATTTTATTTCCTTTTGTTTTTTGATTGCTGAGGCTAAGACTTCCAGTACTATGTTAAATAGTAATAGAGTGGACATCGTTGTCTTGTTCCTTCTGTGAGAGAAATGTTTTTAATACAAAAACATCATAAGGTTAAGCAAATAAGGTATTTTTTAAGGTTTTATTTATTTGTGTGTGTGTGTGAGAGAGAAAGAGAGAGCATAAGCCGGGGGTGGGGGTGGAAGCAGACTCTCTGCTGAGTGTCCCTGGACTCCTGGATCATGACCTGAGTTGAAGGTAGATGCTTAACTGACTAAACCACTTGGGTGCCCTGTAAATATAGGTCTTAACATTGGTAGCTTTGGTAGACTGAAAGCTTATAGGCTTGATTTACCCTTTTCTTGTTATTGTATTACCCAATGACCCATCTCAGATCTACTATATCAGAAATCACGGGAAGAGTAAGGGCCAGGGAATCTTTATATTGAATAAAATAGTTTTAATGCATAGCTGGATTGTGGACCACTGGCAAAAGCAACATGCCCCCCCTGGAGAGAGAGCTTTATTTTATTGTATAGTAGTGTATACAATAAAAGTATATTAGTATACTTTTAGTATACTAAAAGTATAAATAGTAGTGTAGTGTATAGAAAAAGCACTAAACGAGGTATCAGATCATCTGAAATCTGAGCTTTATACTTTATACTAAAAGTATAAATAGTAGTGTAGTGTATAGAAAAAGCACTAAACGAGGTATCAGATCATCTGAAATCTGGTATAGACTCATGCTACCAAGCTAGAAAGGAAGTTGTGTAGATTTGCTTAGTTCCAATGTTCTTATTTTTAAATGGTCATTAAAGAGACTACTATTTGGTTTTGAAGGCATATTTGTTCTTTCTACTATGAAATTTATCTAGTTAATAAAAATGTATTTTATTTACTTCTTTGTTGCAATGCAGCTTGGAAAAGAAAATATATAGCATATTTACCTAAACACCATGGGTCTGTATGCATACCTACACACATGCTGTGGGTCTCACCTGGTCTCTTAGGAAGTTGCAGTCAAGTAAAAAAAAAAATGCTTAGTTTCATCTACTCAACTGTGGAAAGAAGCATTCATCACTTGATGGGATGTAAGGGGGTTCAATGGAATAATATGTCTCCATGCAATCAGAAGAAAGCAGGCTTATTAATGTGGATTTAATGGCATTAGCTGTTTCCATACATTTTTCTCATGTTCTAATTCATTGAAACATTGTGTAATACTTTCAAGATCCTAACATACAGTTTAATACACATTCCCTTACAAATGTAAACAACATAAGGCAGATACACAGAATTTGACCAATGATTTAATAGAGCAATCATCTGGAAACTATGGCTTGTGGGGACCACCTAATTTTTAAAATAAAGTTTTATTGGAACACAGCCATGCCCATTCATTTATGTATCGTCTATGACTGCTTTCATACTACATGGTAGAGTTGAGCAGTTGAGATAGAAACTGTACAGTCCACGATGCCATGAATAATTATCATCTGGCCTTTTGGAGAAAAGTTAGCCAACCATTGCTATGAAGAGTCCAGCCTTATCTTTTGGTGAACACTGAAAGAAACAAAGAACTATCACAAATAAAAAGCCTAGTGAAGAATATTTTATTTTCAGCCTGAAAATAACTTTTAGTCATTTTAAGAAACATCAGCCATTTACCTAGGACTTTAGAAAATAGGATAAAGTCTATATATACTAAGTAATACCAAGAGCATTACTTTGTTGATCAAAAAATATAAAAAACAATCTATAATTTCTTTGGGGAAAATCAGCAAACTTTCAAGTGCAGGCTGTTAAGAATAGGGAAAATACTGCCTAAGTTATAAGATTATAAATTATCTAATAATTTAGTTCGGTTTTCTAATATATTATTTGTCATCATTTAAGGTCCATCTTTGTGAATTATACACAATGCATAACTGTCATCATATTACTATGTTCAGCCCAGTGTCAATTATCTAAAATTCTTTTTTTAAAAATTTTTTATTTATTTATGATAGTCACACAGAGAGAGAGAGAGAGGCAGAGACACAGGCAGAGGGAGAAGCAGGCTCCATGCACCAGGAGCCCGACGTGGGATTTGATCCCGGGTCTCCAGGATCGCGCCTGGCAAAGGCAGGCGCCAAACTGCTGTGCCACCCAGGGATCCCCAAATTCTTTTTTTTTAAAGGTTATTTATTTACTTATTTATGAGAGACACACACAGAGAGAGAGGCAGAGGCACATGCAGAGGGAGAAGCAGGCTCCATGCAGGGAGCCTGACGTGGGACTCAATCCCGGGTCTCTGGATCACATCCTGGGCCGAAGGCAGCGCTAAATCACTGAGCCACTCAGGCTGCCCACTTATCTAAAATTCTAAAGTGTCCCATTAAAGTTATAATTTGGGTGAATTGAGCAGGAAAGGAGAGTTTCCTTTTTTTTTGGCCCATTTCTTGATGACCCAGCCCCTACTCATGCTAATGGTTTCTTCTATCTTCTTATGAAAATTCTGTAGAGATTCTAGATCTCTCTATATAAAGTGGTTTGCTTTAGCTTGGAATCCATCAGGGAGGATTGTCCATGGCCAGGGCCTAGTGATCACATAACTGCTCACAAATGGTGTAGTTGTGATACTATGGAAAACTGCATACCGTCTTCACTAGAAGCTAGGATGGTTGTCCCTAGTATTGAAACCCACTGTACACTTGGCCAAACTGATGCCCAACTATGTTCCTAAACTTTTACCTAAGACTTGGCTCAGTATCAATTTGTTAACTAAAGGTTACCCAGAGGAATAAACTGCTCCTGAATGGTACCAGCTCATACTTTCTATGTTGTTAGAGATATAAAATGGACCATTGTTATAGAACTTACAATTTTCTTAGGAAGAGGGACATGATTTTAATTATAGTACTGCAAATCTTTGCAAATTTCTAGTGTTATAAAAATGCAAGACTTAATTACTTTCAAGTATAATGATATTTTTCCAAATTCAGAAATTATTTAAGTTACGTGTTGGGTAAGGGTAACCAGGAAAGCTCTGTTCTTTAGGTCTTCAGCTTATGACACATATTCTCCTTGGTCTTGCCATGTTCTGCTGAAGATTTTGTATCTCATTATGAAGTCGTTTGCTTTCGTTTTGAAATCCTTCCTTTAGTAGACGGGCTTGTTCCTATAAAAAGGGATAAATGGAGACTGAGTAAAGTGTAGCACTAAGTAAATCTCTAATTAATATCTACTTTCCACATTCATAGATTTTTTTTTGATATTTAATTTCTTCTTGGGGGGATCCCTGGGTGGCGCAGCGGTTTAGCGCCTGCCTTTGGCCCAGGGCACGATCCTGGAGACCTGGGATCGAATCCCACGTCAGGCTCCCAATGCATGGAGCCTGCTTCTCCCTCTGCCTATGTCTCTGCCTCTCTCTCTCTCTCTCTCTCTCTCTCTCTGTGTGTGACTATCATAAATAAATAAAAATTAAAAAAAATAAATTGAGTTGTGTTTAAAAAAAAAAAAAAAAAAAAATAATTTCTTCTTGGCATTTTCTCTACCCTTAATTTTCATTAATTTCTTTTGGGCATCCTAGCTCTGTGATTACATTTCTACTAAGTGGTGAAGACAGTTCAGATATCTTTCCAAGCTGTGTGACCCTATAAAAGTGATTTGATCTTTTTTGAACTCTTGTTTCTTTTCCTAAGTAATAGAAACATAGTGGTTCTTGCTTCATATAGTGTTAAGCAAGAGATAATATAAGTGATTTTTTAGAAAGCCTAGCAGATAACAGCCACCACTGACTGAAAGATATACAAAGGACTAGATGTGACCTAACTGCAAATAAAATCTTTTAATAACCAGACAGAGGGAAAGGCCAGGTCAGGCAGGCAGACAGAAATTGAAAAGTGCAAGTGGCAAGCAAGGTCCTTCTTCTAGGCATCATGTTCTCACTGCCACACTAAGATATGATCAGGGACAGTAGAGAGAAAAGAGAAAAACAAACCTCAGGGTAATGCAATTAAATACCTGAAGTTTCAAAGCTAGAGTTCTCTCTTGTTCTTCTAGCAACTGGATTCTATCCTTCTCCATCTTCTCAGTTAATTGTTTCACATGCTCTTGATAACTCCTTTCTTTCTGTTCCATTATCTGCTGATTTTTTATTTGCATTTCCTCCAGTCTTTTTGTTGCAGCCTGTGCAGATTCAGCTTTCACACGTTCCACTGTGAGGAGGAAGAAGAAGAAGAAAAATGTACATGTGTAAACATGTTTTCCCTTTCTTCCCAGCACACTCACCTGTCCTGTGGCTACTCACTGCATATGCCCTGCTCAGAAATGTCTTTAGCAAGTAAGAGGCATCTTTGTTCTTTTTGCCCTAGTGTAAGGATCCCAGGCTTACCCCGTCAAATTTTTTTAAAACTTTGAGCGCTCTAGAAGCTATTTAGTCTCTTGACTGGCTCCTCACCTTCAATCTCCTTTTCCTTTTCTGTGAGTGTCTGGTCTGTCTGTAGAATTGCATCGGTCATAGATTCCTTGGAATCCAAGTACTCCTGAAGAACCTCTTCAGCCTTAGGACCCAGAGAACACAGTTAGTAATAGGAATTGGCTAGAAACACTTGTTCCTGATTGTCTTCCCACCATCTTTTCCATATTTTCTAGGAATTGCTCCTATTGGTCCTGGTGTGCCTTGTGGTCAAGACTGCTGACCACAGATGCAGGCACTTGCACCAGGCTGGCCAATCATGGGAACTTACTAAGCAGAATCCTTTAAAAGAGACTGATATAGACACTGGGAAAAAGAGATTCTTTGTTCTTTCAGACTAAGGGCTCTAATTTTGGAGTTGTTGGTGTTGTGGTCCCCTATAGAGTGAGTTGCTGAAAAAGGAAGCCATCATGGAGAAAACAGATCAGAGGAAAGGTGGAGGGAAAATAGGAAAGACAGAAGTGTTGGGTTGAGGAAAATAACAGAGAGACAGAAGATGACATTCCTTGAAATCTTGGATCCAGCTGTCCTTAAAGCCAACTTGTAGCCTAAAATGACAAATTACCATTTTTGTTTAAGGGATCATCATCGAGTTTCTCTCCCTTATAGTATAAAGATCCAGCTGTAATAGTGAATTGCAATAACAACTTGGTGGTTAATCTGAAAATCAATTAATAACTCAATTATTAATTGAATATATTCTTGGATAGAGGACATATCTGATATAACAGGCTCTCTGTATATGTTTATTGAATGAAAGCATGGATGCTGTTGTTCTTGTAATGTGTGCAATTATACTTGGTTATGTTGGTCTTTCAAAGAGGCATGTCAGCAGCTTTCCACAATCAGCAGGTAAATCTTGATTACCTGTATCCCCTTCCTAGGTTTCTGAAGGTATGTTTTCTTTAGCTCTTGTGTCTTCTGGATGAAGAGACGATACCCTCCCGGTTTGGAATAAACCCCTTGCTTCACAGAGTCTTCTAGAGGACTGAAAATTTCCTTAAGTAAATCTGAGCAACGATCTGTTGATGCTTGCAGGTTCTGTTTACAAAACTCATCTCTCTTTTTTTCTAGTTTGGCCTTTAATGTAAAAATAGGAAGTAAAAAGAATAACAGGGAAAAGACATTAGCTTGACCTTGGGATTTCTGGGAAGGCTTCTCAAAAATAAATCTATGACCCTAGAAAAAGTTACAGGCACCTTAACATGGCCCTATCCTTCCTCCTGCTCCTGACTTTTACAGAAGTCCCCTTTTCCTTGCAGGTGAAGTTCAGAGAAGAGGTTCCTAGCTTTTTTTTTTTTTTTTTTGCTACACCTTTAAGAGAGAAACTTCAGTTTTTCAAGTTGGACCAATGATTGCATATGGAATAAATGTGGCTGGCTCAACATAAGCTTGCATAAGGTAATCAGGACTACAATTTTCTTTGCTTTTGACTAGAATATCAAATCAGTCTAATAATAGTAGGCATTTGATTGAAGCTCTAATTGTTACTTATATTTATTTAGTTAAATTATGGGGAAGATTATTATTCGTGAAAGAAAAATGTTTTAAAACTTTGAGTTCATCATAATAAACTTTGTTCTTCTTTTTATGATAATAACAAATAGTGGTTATCACCATTTTAAAGTCTAGTAGGAATTCTCTCTCTCAAAAAAAAAAAAAGACCCATTTCATTTTCTGGTAGTACTTTGCTTTCCAAGACCCTTATCCATATAAACTTGAGAAAAAAATTACCGCTAAGTCCTTTTGAAATAACTGGTCTATGTCTTTGAAGGAATTGCTCATGAAGAATTCAATGGCCTCTTTCTCACAGGCCCTGTGCAGGTCTAGCAGCTCCTGGAGGGTTTCTGTGGGCAGTTGCACCATCTGGTTCATCTGCTGGTCATAGTGGGCAATGGCCTTTTGCACTGCAGCTGCATTCTCTATCTGGGCTAAGGCCAGGACTGCATTCTCCATGCAGGGCAGATCCCCACTGCTGATGGCATTGACATAAGTCAGCACCAGGTTCTCTAGACCTACAAGTTGAGAACAAATGAGGATGCTTGTTGTAGGTGGGATGAGGAAACATTTTATTCTGTGTAATTCTGATCATATCTGTTACCACTCATTTGTCTCACAGTATCAATGTCCTCAGATCACCTAGAAGCTTGCTAGAAATGCAAACTCTTATCCTCTGCCCCAGATCAACTGAATTAGACCCTCTTTCCTGGCAAGATGCCCAGGTGATATGTATATACATAAAAGGTTGAGAATTTCTGTTATAGATAGCATAGGCCTATGTTTATTGAGTGTTTGTAACCATTTTATTACCCCCAAGCACCATTAGGACAGGAACTACACCTCTCTCATTTATGTCTCTATCATCAGCCCTGGTCTGTGATGAATATTTGATCACTATTGTAGAACAAATCAAAAAGAGTCCTCAGTTTTGTTTACTCTGGCATAGTGTTGTCCAAGAGAACTTTCTGTGATGATGGAAGTGTTCTATGTGTGCCCTGCAGAATGTCATCCAGCTACTAGCCACATGTAGGTATGGACCTTTGAAATATAGCTGTGTAATTGGAATTTTAAATATTTTTTAATTTTACTTAATTTAAAATTAATTTAAAATTAATTTTAATTAATTTAACACTTGAAGTTGGATAGCCACACTTGAATAGTGGCTACCATATTGGGCAGTGCAGGTTCAATTAACTAGGGCAATTTTAAGAATTAGAGCCTTTTTTTCCTTTTCCTATCAATTCTCACCCAAGAAAATTTGGCTAGTAAAATCTATTAGAAATGTTGGTGTTATTCAGAATTTAAATGATAACAGCAGTAGATTTGCATTTTTCAAAGCTAAAATCAGGTGGAGGTAATTCTACCTTCCTCTAATCTTAAAGATGAAAGAAAAAGACTGAGAAGAGGACTCACGAGGTCCATTGACTTTGATGCCTCCTGAAAGAGTTTTAGTTTTGGAATTGCTAAAGATGTAGGAACAGAAGACTGCAGCTTGTTGCACGAATTCAGGATCCAGCTCATCATCATGCATTGTCTCAAGCTGGCCTAGCTTCTTCCGGTGAGTGGGTCGATCAAAGATGAAACATTTCTTCTTTGGGAAGAACTTCCGGATACAGAGTCGGGGCAGATTAAAATTTTGGTCCTTTTGAGTGTTGCCTGCAAGAAGATAAAAAAGGAATTTCCCAAATATAGAAGCTTGCAAACTTTTTCTGTAAAGGGCTAAACAGTGATATTTTAGGCTTTGCAAGCCAGGTGGTGTCTTTTCCAAGTACTCAGTTCTGCTGTTGCAGCATGAAAGCCGCCATAGACAATCTAGAAATGAATGAACATAGCATTATTCCAATAAAACATTATGTACAAAGACAGCTGGCAGGCTGGATTGGCTGTCATTTGCCTGTGGACCATAATTTGCCAACCCCCTGGACTAGAGCACTGTTCATGCTTTAATATATTTTCTTCCAATCAATGCTATTCTATTTCATATTCTTTAGCTAATCATAAGCCCTCAGCAGGGAAATAAATCAATCTGATAATAGCACAGGAAAAGATGAAAGAAAAAAACTATTCTTAGAGAAGGAGAGTATAATTTAAAATCAAATCTAGTAATTCATATACCAAACAAGCATTACTTCTTAATGATAGCCAGCTAAGAATAAATAGAAAACTATAAATGTAAGAAAACTGTAAACGGAACACTAAAAGATGATAGTTTCTCATGTTATTTCCTTTTATTTCTACGTCTTCCTTTTACCTTGTTTAAGCTTGAGTGAATTCTCCAGGTACTCATCTGCTGTGATAGGTAGACCATCTGCTTCCAGCTCTAAGGAAAAATCCCTCAACGTCCACACAAAATCTGGAAAGAAGCTCACGAAGTCAGCTGAATCTTCAATCCCATTGGCATCAGGGGAGGATTTCGCCCTGATTCGATCTGACAGCTCTGTCACATAGCTGAATAGCAAACTAAGGAAAACTGGCAGAAAAGAACTGTCCTCCATCCCATAATAGTTCCCCATATCTACAACCTTCATGTTACCTTTGTTTTTAACCCAAGTGTCAATTCTTCAGTGGGTACCTAGGATATTTCCCTTGCCCTTGAATGATTTCTTATGTTTTCTCTTTTTATGCTTGATTCACTAGGATTCACAGCTACACAGCTGATTTTTAAACATAGGGCTCCCCACCCCTTACACTGATCCTATTTTGAACAGCAAAAAGGATACTGCAGTTGGTCCATGGCCTGCTGGTTGATGGTTCCCATGCTATTGTACACAAAGGTGCTACTCAGAAGTATTGCTAGGGCAAAGATCCAGGAGTCATTCTGGTTGTTACCCTGGAAATCAGAACACATTTAGGCTGAGATTATGTTTCATTCTCCTGGTACTTCCCAGAGTAGCAGTAAAAAGATACTCGTTTTGTTAGTCTTTTTTAGATTAATGACCTTTATGAGAAAATCAAATCCAAACAAAAATGTGAGAGGGACTTGAATTTTGAATAATTTTGTGATTAGTATCTTTACACTGATTCTCACTAGGTTCTCTTATGATCATTGGCAGATAATTACAAGACAAATAGTCAAGGTTGGTGGGCATTCTAAGGCCTTAAATAGAATTTAAGTTTAACATTTTCTTTTCCTTTTCTATAGCAAAATTGACTTATATAAGAATAATAATACGTGTGGCAACTTTATTGAGCAATTATTATGCACCTCATATTTTCCATTACTTATCATATTCAAAACAGTACTATGAGGCAAATGTAGATCTATTACATCTGTTTTACAGATTTAGAAAGCTGAGGCTAAAAGAGGTCAAACTATTTGCCAAGGCCACTGAGTTAGTGACAGGGTTATATTTAAACACAAGGGTATGGAGTTTCAGAACCTAAATTCTTAACTAAAATTCTCTGCAGGATTGAATTCATGACACTGATTTTATTTGTACTACCTTTATGCATCTAGGTTAACTGGCTTAGCATACAGCCTATTGTTAATGATTAGAATACTACCTACTGACCACTATGATCTTCCAGGATTCTGTCTTAAGAATATTTTCCTGATGCCTGGTTGCTAAACTTGGTCTTAGGGCACATAAACGGAAATGAAAAAACATATTAAGTGCAAGCTCTTATTTAAAAAAAATTAAATAGTGTAGAGAATATTCAGGGATGAGGGTCTTATTCCAGAATTGAATCCTTAACCCTTACCTTCTCTACATCTCCCAGGCCCTCAGTGTCCAGAAGAACTAAAGTGTGGCTTGGCTTCTTGGGATGAGGCACACACCACATCCAGATTCCTTTGGTGTGAGACTGCACTGTGGAGCCCAGAGAAAAGCCTGCAAGGGGGAGTGGGGGGTAAGAAGGTGGAATTTTAATGGTAGATGGATATAGAAATCCTACAAAGCAACATAAAACACCAACGTCATTAAAAAATGAGCAAAGCCTCAGAATAAATCCCACTTGATTGTGATGAAAAATCCTAAGAGATGCTGAATGCTAGGAAACTGAGGTGGGAAGGTGGGTGGGGGAAGGGAAAATTGGGTGATGGGTGTTAAAGAGGGCACTTGAGGAGTTCCTAGGTGGCTCAGTTGGTTGGGCGTCTGCCATCAGCTTGGGTCATGATCCCAGGGTCCTGGGACTGAGTCATACATCAGAATTCCTGCTCACTGAGGAGCCTGCTTTTCCCTCTCCTTCTGCCTGCTGCTCCCCTGCTTGTATGCTCTCTTTCTGTCAAATAAATGAATGAAATCTTCTAAAAAAGAGCATTTGATGTAATGAGCACTGGATGTTATATGCAACTCATGAATCACTAAATTCTGCCTCTGAAACTAATTAAAATTTATTAATATATTTATTTTAAGATTTCATTTATTTATTCATGAGAGACACACAGAGAGGCAGAGATATAGGCAGAGGGAGAGGCAGGCTCCCTGCAGGGGCGGGGGGTAGGGGCTGATGTGGGACTTGATCCCAGAACCCTGGGATTACAACCTGAGCTGAAGGCAGACGCTCAAACACTGAGCCACCCAGGTGCCCCTAATTTTTTTTTTTAATGAAAAAAGGACTTGAATAGATATTTCTCCAAAGAAAATATACAAATGACCAATAAACAAATGAAAAGATGTTCAACATCATTAGTCATTAGGGAAATAACAAATCAAACCACAGTAAGAAACTACTTCACACTCATGATAACCACTATCAAAAAAACAAAAGTGATAAGTTTTGGGGAGGATGTGGAGATATTATAAACCTTGTGTGTTTCTGCTGGGAATGTAAAGTGGTGCAGTTACTGCAGAAAACAGTATCATTTCTTAAAAATTAAACACAGAATTACCAAATGATTCAGCAATTCTACTTCCGGATATATACCCCCCAAAAAGCAAAAATGGGGACTTGCACAGATATTTGTACCCTCATGTTTTTAGCAGCATTATTCATAATAGCCAAAAGGTGGAAGCAACCCAAGGGTCAAATCGGATAAACAACGGATAAACAAATACGTATGGACATAGAGTTGTTCAGCCTTAAAAAGGAAGAGAATTCTGACACATGGTACAGCATTGATGAACTTTGAAGACATTATGCTAAATAAAATAAGCAAATCACAAAAGGACAAATAATGTCTGATTCCTTTTTTTTTTTTTTTAAGATTTTATTTATTTATTCATGAGGGACACAGAGAGAGAGGCAGAGACATAGCCAGAGGGAGAAGCAGACTCCATACAGGGAGTCTGATGTGGGACTCCATCCTAGGACCCCAGGATCACACCCTGGGCCAAAAGGTGGCGCTAAACCGCTGAGCCACCCCGGGATCCCCTGCCTGATTCCTCTTAAATGAGATTCCTAGAGTAGTCAAATTCATAGAGACAGAATATAAAATGGTGGTTACTGAGGGCTGGGGAGTTATTGTTTAATGGGAACAGAGTTTCTGTTGGGGAAGGTGAAAAAATTACAGTGATGGGTAGTGGCAATGGTTGCATAACAGTGTGAATTTACATAATGCCACAGAACTGTATGTATGTACATTTTAAAATGATTACAATGGTAAATTTTATGTATATTTTACAACAGTAAAAAAAAGACCCAATACAGACTAATACAGACTTAAACATTCTTTGAATCTTAATGATCGATGGAAATTTCCTTTCACTACACAGTGTAGTAAATGTCTTATAGTTATATATTATTATGTACATTAATTATTTTTTATTATTGCATTAGTCTATGAAAGAAACCATTTATGCTTTTAAAAGGGGAAACTAAAGCAGAGTGGAAAGAGAGATGACTTGCCTCTTTCAGACCATAGTGAAGATAGGAGCATAACTTTGGATTGAAAGATCACTTTCAGTATTTCTTTGCATCTCTAACTTTCTTTCCAGGCTCCATGCTGACAGTGTGGGTGGGCAGAAGGGACTAAGCAGAGCTTTGTTGGTGCCACTTACCCTTGTTCTTCCCAGCCAGCTTGTTCATCAGGTAGGATTTGCCTGTGCGGTAGAGGCCCACAATAGCCACCACCACAAGAGGATTCTTAATGCCTGACAGGATCTCCAAAGCTTCCTGATTAGCCAGCAGTTGCTCTTCAGTGTTCTTAATGAGGCACACTGGGGCAGACATGTGGATCTCTGAGTCCATGTTGAGAGTGTTCCCTGATCTGTAAGGGAAGAGATGGGTTGAATTAAAATTTCCAGTTTAAGTAGATAAAAAATTTTACCAGCTTATTTTACTTTCAGAAGCTAGAGTACATGATGTGATGAGCACTGGGTGTTATACACAACTGATGAATTATTGAAAACAACATCTGAAACTAACGATGTACTATAATGTTGGCAAATTGAATTTAAATTAAAATAAAAACAATGTTTTAAAGGAAGCTAGAGTCCTCAATTTACACAAATGGCCAAAAGTTTGCTGTCAACATTGAGATAGATGGGAGTAATATCTGTATTTTAGAAAGTTAGAGAAGTATTGTCAAAGCAGTTCATTGAAAAAATATTGGTGTGACAGGATCTTAGGAACATTCAGCCACTCTCATAAACAAAATCATTCATTTAATTCACCATGGAAAATTTGCATTTGGATTCTCATTAAAAAGTTAGAGTAAACTTTAAATGGAAAATAGAATAGAATTTAGAGGGACTTATTTGATATCCTGATTATATGTAAAAAGTCAATGTTAATTTATTTATTCATTAAGTCTTACTATGAATAGACTTTCATACATCATTTCATGTATGCCCTTTGAAGAGCCCCCAGAGATTTTAAGTGTTTTTATCTTCTGTAGTTATGCTTATTTTGCTGGAGTGAGGGTCCACAGAACATCTCACCCTGCCATTCCAAAAGTGGAACCAATATAACTTACTTTTGCAAATTTTATAAAAATACATGATCACGTGAGACACATGACTAGAGAACTTTCCAAAGCTTTGGTGCAGGTTTGTGTAAGCAAGGGGCCTTTAAATTTAAGCTTCATTAGCCTCACAGTAAATTAGCCTTAACTACATGGGGGGCTACAAGTACACAATTGGAAGCACTTAATATGGCTAAAAATTATGTTATATGTATGTATATATGTACACAAACATATACACACATATATGAGTAGGGAACAAAAGACTATGAAATAAGGATTAAAAGATCAGGAGGCAGAGGAGCCTGGAGAGATGGACACACCTAGATAACAGCCACATCAGTGTAATTAACTCAAAATGAACCAAAGACCAGAAGAACAGACTGTCCACAGTTAATTGAAGAGAGGAGACCACATTGAAAACAGTACAAAAGGGTGAAGTCTGGTTGGAAACCAAAGTAATATGCAAGACTAACCACAGGCAGGAGGGATACCACAAGTACAGAGATGGGAGGGGAAAAGACCCCCCATCAGACATCCCAGACACGAGGGACCTGCACTGGGAATACAAGTCCCCATTACATCAGCTTTGACAATCAGAGGAGCTTAACTTCTTGAGTTTTTACAATCAGTGGGGTTTAACATCAGGAACTTTAAAAGGCTTGGCTCTGAGAGAGCCTGGAGTGTGATAGAAAACTGAGTTCCCACTCTTAAAGAGCCAAAATAACAAACAACCCCAGTAAGATACATCATAGAAACAGCAGTTTGGGAGGCACCTGGGGTATATGAGATTTATTTACTAATCCCAGAATGTGCATAGGAGAGGCAAGGATCTTTAGGAGACTTTTCCAAGAACAAAAGAACTGGTGGATGCCTTTTCTCTCTTTCACCCCAGGCTAGATACTTGGACACCTGCAGTAACTAGTGTGACCATTTACAATCTAGTTTGCTAACACCACATACCCTGTTCTCCTGTAGATTCCCCCCCTCCAGCCCACCCCACTCAAGAGGAGTTCCTCCATAGTTCTCTAGCTAGGTCTCATTCTTCGAGCAGCCATAACACTTGCCAGTACTACTCCAAAGTACCCGAAGGTAACTGCAGACACACCACTTTAACTGCATCCTCCTGGGTCTGATCTGACTGCTAGCTCTGCCCACCAAGAAAAACTTCATAGGGGTAGCACAGAGAGCCCTGTCGTTTGGGGTCACTACAAACCCAACAGACAGACTGGGGATCAGACATCTGATCTGACCGCAGATCCTGCTCACAAATGAAAGCCTCTCAGAAAACAATGCAGGAAGAGCACCCTGAAGTTCAGTGCGACCACAGTTCTGGCAAATGGGCTGAAGGCAACCATCTGTTCTGACCTAACTGTAACCCAAGGCTGCCCCAAATTGGCCCCTTAACAGAGACCAAACCTTGCTCATAACAAGGCAAAGACATTGTAGACAAGTTACTGAAGGCAAGCATGGCTCAACCACAATAGAAGAATTCCTACAACACACATAGGAGGCACCCCTGCCAAGTTCTAGTGAACAGGGGTCATTGCACCATTTATGGGACCTCTCTTCATTAGGCAACTACTTTCAAGATTAGGAGATATAATGACTTTCCTAATACATAAAAACAGAGAGCTAGACAAAATGAGGAGACAGAGGACTATGTCCTAGATAAAAGGACAAGATAAAATTAGAGTAAAAGAGCTAAATGAAATGGAGATAAGCAATAAGCCCAATGGAGATTTCAAAATAATGATCATAAAGATACTTACTGGACTTGAGAAAAGACTGGAGGATCTCAGTGAGACAAACAAATGGAAAGATATTCCATTGAGTATATTCCATGTTCATTGATTGGGAAAATAAATACTGTTAAAATTTCCATACTATCTAAAGAAATCTATAGATTTAATGCATTTTTTATCAAATTACAAATAGCATTTTTCACAGAACTGGAACAATCCTAAAATTTGTATGGTTCTACAAATAGCCAAGGCAATTTTAAGAAAGAAGAACAAAACTGGAGGTATCAGAATCTTGGATTTCAAGATATACTATAAAGCTGCAGTAATCAAAACAGTATGGTACTGGCACAAAAAGAGGCACATAGATCAATAGAACAGAATAGAGAATCCAGAAATAAACTCATGCTTTTAGGTCAATTGATCTATAACAAAGGAGGCAAGAATACGCAATGGGAAAAGTGCCTGCGTGGCTCAGTTAATCAACTGAGCATCTGGCTCTTGATTTCAACTCAGGTCATGGGGTCATGGGATTGAGCACCACATTGCGTTCCATGCTGGGCAGGAAGCCTGCTTGGGATTCTCTCTCTCTATCCCTCCCCCACTCATGTACTCTCTCTCTAAAATAAATAACTCTTTAAAAGAAAAAGAATATGCAACTGGAAAAGGATGTTTCTTCAACAAATGGTGTTGGGAAAACTGGACAGGTATATGCAGAAGAATGAAACTGGACCATTTTCTTATACCATGTACAAAAATAAACTCAAAAATGGATTAAACACCTAAACATGAGATGTGAAACCACAGAATTGTAGGAAAAAAGATAGGCAATAATTTCTTTGCCATCAACTGTAGAAACGTTTTTCTCCAGAGGCAAGTGTAACAAAAGCAAAAATGAACTATTCGGACTACACTGAAATAACAAACTTGCACGGTGAAGGAAACCATCAACAAAACAAAAAGATAACCTACTGAATTGGAGAAGATATTTGTAAATGACATATCTGATAAGGGGCTAATATCCAAAATATATATAAAGAACTTATAGATTCAATACCAAAAAACCAATAATCCAATAAAAAATGGGATGGACATAAGACATGAATAGACATTTCTCCAAAGAAGACAGAGATGGCCAACAGACACATGCAAAGATGCTCAACATCATTCATCATTAGGGAAATGCAAATCAAAACTACAATGTGATATCACCTTACACCTGTAAGAATAGCTAAAATAAAAAACTCAAGAAACAAGTGTTGGCAAGGATGTAGAGAAAAGAATTCTTGGTGCATTCTTGGTGGGAATGCAAACTGTGTGTAGCCACTGTGGAATAGAGGTACCCTGAAGATTAAAAATAGAACTACCATATGATCCAGTAATTCTACTACTGGGTTTTTACCCAAAGAAAACAAAAACACTAATTTGGACAGTTATATGTACCCCTCTGTTTACTGTAGCATTATTTACAATAGCCAAGATATGGAAGCAACCCAAGTGTCCATCTATAGATGAGTAGATACAGGGGATAAAGAGGAAGTGGTATATAAAATATATTAACTATACCATTAATATAATGGAATACTACTTAGCCATAGAAAGAATGAGATCTTGCCATTTCCAACAACATGGGTGGATCTAGAGAATATTATGCTAAGTGAAATAAGTCAGTCAGAGAAAGACAAATACAAAATACAAATATGATTTCCCTCATATGCATAATTAATTTAAGAAACAAACCAAACAAAGCAAAAAAGAGAAAAACAAAAAACAGACTCGAATATAGAGAACAAACTGGAAGTTGTTAGAGGCAATGGGGGTGAAATTTAAGAAACAAACCAAACAAAGCAAAAAAGAGAAAAAAAAAAACAGACTCGAATATAGAGAACAAACTGGAAGTTGTTAGAGGCAATGGGGGTGAAATATGTAAATGGAATTAAGGGTGTACTTATTGTGATGAGCCCTGAGTAATGTATAGAATTGTTGAATCATTTGTACATCTGAAGCTTAAAAAAAAAAATCAGGAGGTAGATCAGGAGAGGTAAAGGGAAATTGTCCAAAGAAAACACTTGTATTTTCAGCCATACACTTCTAGGTTTTGTTTTGTCTTGCTCTTCTATTTGATAGAAAAGGAGAAGCATGGAAGAGGAGGGGGAGAGGAATGAGAAATGAGGGAAAAGAAGGAGGTGAAACTGAAAGGGAAAGAGAGAGAGTTATCAGACGAGGAGATGATGAATAAAGCTCATGCTGAACCAAGGAATCAGAGCAGAAGTTTCCACAAAGCAAATCAGAACTGCTTGAGAGCATAGAGAGGTCAAGGCAAGCAAAGATGTTGCCTGTAGTGATGCATCACACTCGATTCTCTAAAGAGGAAACTCTTTAGTAAAATAGGACTGCCGATTCCACTTGTAAGGATTAAAGAATAAGCTGGCACTACGAAATTGAATCTACTGAACCTGGGCTACTTCTAAAGGAAGAAACATACTTGGAAACAAAGTTCAAGTGTGTGATTAAAAAGTAGAGGGTTTTTGTAAATCTTCATCTTTCACTCTGGGTTTCCATCTTTTCTTTCATTGTCTTTAACAGTGTCAGTGGTTGTTTACACTGCACCTCATTTACTACTCTTCCCTTCTCATGAATATAACATATTTCAGTTGCCTTTCAGTTTCTTAGCTGCAGTCAGCAAGTTACATCAAAGACAATGGCAATTTACTTGTGTCCCCAGTCAACACAGACAATGTCAGCAAAGAGAAGGACAATCCTAATGCATTTCAAACTTCATTTAGCGCCATGTCTACCAGTGCCCAATTCTGCACAAGCACAGTGGGAACAGGTAGGAACATACTACCAACTGATAACACCAATATTTTATCATCTGACCTGTGTCCCACAGCAGGCTCACCTGCAGCCTGTCCTGATGCTGGTCACTTCTTAAGAAAATTGACCCTTATAAATTCCCCTTCGCATCCCCCATCCAACCTTATCACGAGCTCTGTTTCCCAGAGAAAAGTTCCTTTCAAGCTGAAAAGAAGGCTGCTTTAAGGAGAAAGTGGAGTTCTTACCTCTTTTTTTTCTCTCCTCAGTTAGGTGGAGTGGTTTCTGTTACTTCTCTGTCTCTCACTGGATTGTGGATCTTTTATTTCACCTATTCAGTGTCATTGGAATTTCCAGATGTCCTTTAAAGACAAAAATAGAAGTAAAGCAATGGCTATAGCAGACTTTATAGTAACATGAAAATGAAAGCACTGAACACAAAGCAATAAACTCAATGACCATAAAAGGAATTCCTGGAAGTTAAGCCAATGAGAACGTATGTGGGCTTAACACAATTTCTCAATCAGAACTTTCACATTTCTTTGGAAGATATTTTAGAGAACATTTGCTGATTTTTAAAAACGTCTGTCAGATATTTAAATATAATGAAATGGATCTCAGAGTTGGGGTTCAGTTTGAGGAACCCAGAATGAGGAAGCAATTGTGTTAATTTTTAGGTCTAATTTCTTTAAGTAATGAACACACTTACAGGGGACCTGGTTTCTCATTTATACATACAGTAAGTGAGGAAAATGTCACGCCTCACACACAAACACCCAGCACCCGGCACTAATCCCCAGTGCACAGTTAGGAAGAGGCTCCATCTATTGCACACATGCTCCAGACTCTATGCTGAGTGCTTTACATGGGTTTCATAACTTATATCGCATGCTAAACATTTCCCCATGGTTTTATAGAAACTGATGTGCAGAAGGGTTGAATGTCTTAACCCAAATCACAGGACTATAAGTTATCTGAACTGAATCATCCATGACCCCAAGCCCTTTTACTAAACTTCTTCACTCTACTGCCTTTCAAGGTTTCCTGATGAATAGCAATAGAAGTAGCAGCTTTATCTCATTATTGGTTTTTTGTGTGTTACATGTCTAACTCATTCCTGTTTGCAATCATGCAAAATAAGTGACACTGTCTTCATCTTACAGTGAAAACAAGGAGACTTGAGGGATGGTAATATGCCTGTCCATATTCACTAAGCAAGTCATGGGGGTGAGAATCAAATTTAAAGTCTTTTTACCTTTAAACTCTGCTTTTTCCTCCTCTTCTTCCTCCTCCTCCTCCACATTGTTTCTGAAAGAAAGGAATAGGGAAATGAGGCAAAAGGGAGAGATTTTCCAGGTTCTCTGCTGATCCCAGATATTTCTCTACCTCTGGAAGCCAGAGTGAGAAAATTAACAAATAGAATTGAACCCTTTCTTTACTTGTCCCTTTTTGCATTATCTTTTCAAATGTCTCTGAGTAAGTAGCACTTCAAATTGTTTTGAAAAGTATGACTTCCCTAAGTCTTTCCGTTGCTGGTACACACTTAGTTTCTTCCTGCCTTACTGGTCTGGGTGTGGTAGTTTTGCAGATCTGAAACTTCCTTTTTTTTTTTTTTTAATTTAAAAGATTTTATTTATTTATTCATGAGAGAGAGAGAGAGAGGGAGGCTGAGACACAGGCAGAGGGGGAAGCAGGAGAAGCAGGCTCCCTACAGGAAGTCAGATGTGGGACCCAACCCCGGGACTCTGGGATTATGCCCCAAGCCAAAGGCAGATGCTCAACCGCTGAGCCACCCAGGTGTCCCGCTTGCTTGCTTTCTTTCTTTCTTTCTTCTTTTTTTTTTTTTTTTTTTGATCTGAAACTTTCTTATCCTTGATCTTGGCAAGATTGGTCCCCTCCTATTCTACTCGTATTCTGGGAGCCCTTTGCCAGTCTCTCATCATGTCACCTTGATTTTTTTCCCCTTATGTTACCTGAAATTGAAGTTCATAAAAGCAGGTAACTCATATATTCACAGCACCTACAATCAGGTTTGGCAGAGAGCAGAAGTTCAATAGCTATTATGTGACTAAATATAAAATGGCCCCAACTATGAAAGAAACACTACACTTTTGCCAGTTTGGATATACAAACTTATTGAAGTGTGGAAAAAAATAGTAAAATGCCTATATAAAGCATTTGTTTGCTAATTTCATTACACATGTTTAAAATTAAATATCACATGTATTTATAATACAGATATTTTTTCTTACACTTTATAAAATAATTTTTTCAACTCTTCCCATTCTTTTTTTTTAACATTTATCTTCATCATTATTAAAGCTACTTTAAAATCATTTAACTCATATTTTTTCAGACACATCATTCTTCTGTCAAATAATTTGAACTATTTAAAATATCTGTGGGATTACCTGGGTGGCTCTGTCAGTTAAGTGTCCAACTCTTTCTTGGTTTTGGCTCATCACCTTGTAGTTGTGAGATCGAGCCCTGCATTGGGCTCCATGCTGAGCGTGGAGCCTGCTTGAGATTCTCTTCTCCGACTTGTGCATGCGTGCTCTCGCTATCTCTCTCTTAAAAAAACTAAAACTAAATAAAATGTCTGTAAGTTGTTCTAAAGTCATACATCAAACAATGAAACATTTATTCAGGAAGATCTCCTACAACTCTGATGAGAAAAGCTGAGAATCTATGGCAACTGACCCAGAACATACTACTTCCCCATTCCCAGTTCAGTTTGACAAAAGTTCCACTCCTGGTGGGTATGGCGAACAAGATGTGACTTGCTTTTCCCTCACCTTCCAAGCAGATATAAAGTATCTCACTGGTAAGGGCAGGTCACCAATATTTCTCATCCCCTCCAACACTGAGTTGCAGAGACTAAATTCCTGGTTAGTGTAACAAAGGCTGGGGGGCTCCCAATCTCCACCCAACCCTGCTTTTAGAGTGGAGGCTTTAGCCCAGACATGGCAGGCTGAGAACACTTGGCTTGATCACCCTCACTCTGGCTCACTTATAGGGTGGAGTTTCCATGTTGGGAGTGGCAAGTGAAGAACACCAGGGGCCACCATCCCTGGCCAGTAAAGGGCACAGAGACTTTTGTCCAAGGAGAGAGGCAGTCCATAAACACAGAGTAGTTTCAGGCTCTCCCCAAAGGGACTGACTTTATTTAAAACAGAGTGTGAGGAAAAGTTCAAGCCTAAAAACTTGAAGAAAACTTATTGCTAGCAGATTGACATTATGAGAAATACGAACAGAAGGTTTTCAGGCAAGAAGCAAGTGACCCCAGGTGGAAAAACTAACAACATCAGTCAGGGAATATGTGATTATAAAAGACAAAATAAATGCATATTATTTCTCTTTTCTTAACTGAGTTAAAAAGCAATTGTATAAAATATGTGTATAATTGTAGAGTCTATAGCATATATAAATTTAACATATTAATAGAGCAAAGGAGCTAGATGGGTGCAGAGCTTATTGAAATGAAGACAAAACACCAGACATTGACTTGAATCCGTAGGAATGAATAAAGAGAACTAGAGATTGTAAGTAAGAAAGTTAATATGACAAGTCCTATACATTTATACTTTCTCCCTCAGCTTTTTTTAAGAGACACAAAATTATACAAATTAATAATTACAGCAATGTATTGTTGGGGTTGTAATATATGTAGGTGTTATATGTAATATATATATAAAATAGTAGTAGGAGGAAGTAAGAGTATAGGAGTAACAATTCTATTGGGCTAAGTTAGCATAAATTCAGGCTTCGGGAAGATCTATATCTCTCCCTATTTATATCTATGTTTATATGTGGCTAGCCCTGGAGCAGTCATACATCTCAAATCAGTATATTTTCTTTCTTTTTATTTTATTTTTTTATTTTTATTTTTTTAATAAATTAATTTTTATTGGTGTTCAATTTACCAACATACAGAATCAAATCAGTATATTTTCACCTTAAGTAACTGTAAAAGAAGAACAAACTAAATCCAAAGCAACAGAATGGAGAAAATAATAAAGATTTTTTTTTGTAAATGAATGTAATAAAGTCAAACTGGCCGAGAAAAAAGGATGGAAGACTCAAATTACTAAAATCAGGAATGAAATACAGAATATTACTATTTACTTTCAGAAATAAAAGAAAGGTAAAATGATACTATGAACAACTGTATGCCAACAAGTTAGATTAAAAAATGTATCAGTGCTGTGGCACCTGGGTGGCTCGGTGGGTTAGGTGGCTCACTCTTGATTTTGGCTCAGGTCATGGTCTCAGGGTTGTGAGACTGAGCCCCACATCAGGTTCCCCGCTCAGGGCAGAGTCTTCTTGTCCCTCTCCCTCTGCTCCTCTCGCTGCTCACACATGCTGTCTCTCAAATAAATAAACAAATAATCTTAGAAAGAAATGAAAAGAAAGATGGACCAGTACTTAGAAAGACACAAACTACTTAAACCATCTCAAGAAGAAATAACTCATCTGAATAGACTAAAGTAGACAATAGATTGAATTACTGATAAAATTCCTCACAAACCTGGCAAAAGAAAGAAGAAAGCTACCCAACTTCCCAAAGGTTATTTTACCATATGTATTTTCCTTCTCTCCCTGAACTCTTTGAGAGTTAGTTATGAATGTAATGCCTCTTTACTTCTAAATAATCCAATGTTTATTTCCTAAAAAAATGATCCTCCAGAACCTTACTATCTCCTTAGGCATGTACTTTTTTTGGTAGTTGCTGTTGTAAGAAGCTGGCATTCTGTTTCCCATCCCCCTTGGAAGGGACCATTGAATGTCTGAACAGACATTTCAGACCAATCATTGCAAATGTAAAATAGAAGTGAAGCTGTAAGAAATGAGTAGCTGATGTCTCTTATCCACATATCTATCTTTTTTATTGTGAAATGATGGAAGTTTGAATCAAGACTGTGGCATCCTTTGGTGCCATTCTTTAAGCTTTTAAAGTGAGGGATTAGAGTCATTCTGTTGGGACTACTTAGGCCTGTATTTGTCCCTGAGCTTATGGATAATATTCAAATTTTAAAAATTGTTCAAACTACTATGAGATCCTAACTAGTCTATTCTAGAACTATAAGTTCGTCTATGTTGTTCAGTTAGTGAATAATTTTCATCAGGACATTACTTATGACATGTTGTTTCCAAACTGAGTAAAAAAAGAACCCTCAAATTTGATGAAGACTCCACAGAGCATAAAAAGCTTTGGATTTACTTGAATTCAATGTAAATCAAATATGAAAGTATCTACTAATTCCTTGAAGAAACTTCACTATTATTTTGAATGAATTGTTGCAATTTTTCCATTTTTGAATGAGGTTTTCTCTACTGGACATCATGAGGAAAAGTGACTTCATACAAATGTTGTGGGAATCTTCAAACTATTTGCTGGACTT